TAACACATTCAGTCATTTGCTCGTTTGCAGGTCTAAGTCTGAAGATAAGCTGTAGACATTTTGTTACAGAAAAGTAAATACTCTAAATACATTACATTCCCATCTGGACTTGATGTGTTCGCTCAGTAATTAAGTATACCTGATAATCTCTTATCATCATGAGTTTCACAATTCACAAACGTGAGATAGTTAGGCTTTCGTGTCATGCAAATTGCCGGAAATTAAACTAAGTTACTTTACTTTCGCCTGTTACCCATCATGCAGCACGGACTACCGAGCAGCATTCTTCAACCTACACTCTCCTGAGACTTTCTTTCTAGTTCTACACAATCGCTGTTCATTCTTCTCATGTCTGTCTCGACTTCTGGGCTTTCTATGTTCTTTTGCCTCCAACCTTTCCTTCGGCCTTCGAAATCCCGAATGAAGGCTTGCTTCGTGATGCAGTTGTTTGCGTTCCTCAATATATGTTGTATTCACTCCTAGCGCTTCTTCACAATTTATCCCTCAACTGAAATCTGGTTTGTTCTGTCCCGTAGTAGGTTGTTCCTGACAGTTTCTCGCCAACATGTATGGAATATTTCGCGTATACAAATGTTCATGCAAACCTCTATCTTTTGGATGGTAGCTTCGGCAGTTCTGCAAGTGTTCGCATCATACAGTAAACCTGTCTTGACATTTGTAGCCTAAATTGTGACTTTATTGTTGGTTGGTTGGTGGTTTTGAGTTCCAGACATTCTTTAATTGAGGAAAAACTGTTTTTGATTTGCCGATTCGTGCCACAACATCTACATCAGATCAACCGTGATCATCAATGATGCTTCCTAGATATGCAAATTTTTTGCATCTTCCAAAGCTTTTAAATCAAGTGTGGTTTGTTCTATCGGAGAATATGGCTTTTCCATTTGTGTGTGTTGAGACCTGCTGTTGCTACTCTGGTCGTAATCTCTTACTTTGGAGTTGCGTATGTGATAGTGGAGCCAGATCGTCTGAGATGTGCAGACCATCCAGCTGCACCTTGGCTGTCCATTGTATCCTGCACTTACCCCTAGATAGGGACGTCTGTATTGTGCAGCCGAGAAAATATGAAAGTAAGCAACCTCGCCTGACACAAGTCTTCACTTAGAATGACACTGTCAGATGCCTTCAATGAACGATTTTGTAGATCATACTACCATAACACTTTAGTATGATGTTGACTAACAGGCCTACATAATGTTATCCTGTCCACACTATCAAATGCTTTACCATAGGTAATGAAGTTGAAATTAAATTTTGCAAACTGTTCCTGCATTCCATTTACATACGCTTTACATATGGACTTAGTAATTCCAAATGAAAGTTCTACTAAGTTTCTTCTCAGACTTTACCAGATTTAAATTAATGGCTTTGATTTTGTATGTGACTAATTATCAATTGAGCGCTGAGTAAGTCCTCATTCTCAACTCGTTATTTCACTAGAAGACTATTCAGTTATCAGGTTTATGTTATTAGGACATGATTCACAATAACTTTTATTCTTATAGACACGTAAAGCAACCTCAAAAGGTTAGGTTCAGAATTTATATCTATTCTATTGTCGATTCATGATAAACTGTCAGCACGTCTATTCACGATAATCTTTCACTGTTTTGACAATCGTATCTTGCTAGTTATTCTAATTCAACGATAACGAAAACCACGAGAAATTAACTTAAATGGCATGAATTTCGTGGACAATTAATGGAAGTCACAAATTTTTAAAACATTGAACCAAGACATGTCATTAACCTCTTCACCATCACAATCCATGAAGTTGTCTCCGTGATTAAATGAAGATTTAATTGAGAGCAATTTTGAAATTGAAATAAAAAGTAAGTCAGCTTTTTAAAAGGGTACGGTCTTCATCCCTCCCCTTTTCACTTTGTCTCAGTCTCTTGACTATTTTTGGTGCAACACTACTGACGCAGATAAACGTAAATTTAGTTTCACCCTCGAGTTGTGTTTAGTCTTATTAACCACTAGATTCAATATATTTGTACTTGGCCAAATGATTATCTTGTTTAGTGGTACAGGAATCTTTTCTCAGGCTAACCAACAACGTCTCAAATTTCGGATTACCAGAGAATAAAACATAATTTGGCTAGCAACTCATTTGAGCCAATCACTTACTTAATTACCTACGTCTTTTACCCATAAAGGAGCATCGGCCGCCTACCAGCATTCTCTAACCTACTCTGTCCTTGGCCTTCGTTTCTATGCAAACCAATACTTGCACAGAAAACCAACTAACTACCAAAACTATCATGATGTATTTTCTTTTGTACTGTGAACAAAACGGTATAACAAAAGAAACTACACCGTGAAATAGTCGAAACAATCTATTCAAAGTTTCAATACAAGCTGTAAGGACCGAAAATTTCAACAGTTCTTTTATTAATGGAATATAAATTTAGTTCTAGAAGGTAGTAGTTAATCAGGTTCCTACTAAAACAATCCTATTAATTTTCAAAAATCAAATTTATTTTAGACTTATACAACTAACCAGTTGATTGTGAGCGTTGTTAAAGAGATTAATGAATAGCATCAACTACAGTTGTAATGTCATTCACAGCACAATCTTCTGGCTTGAGACTGGTCACAAACACATGCTTTTAGAATATTGCGCCGTCGATGACCAGTTTGTTGAATGCACATAGCTTTGAAAATCTCGCACCGTTTTCGTTCCCTTCTCCCAGTACATGTCCAGTGGTGTCTTTATATCCAGTGTTTTTCATGCGAAACTTGGCGTTTAGGTCTTTCATCAGAATAGTCAAATCCTTTGATGAGCTTCTCTTGATGACTGACTACAGCCTTTCGAAGAATTGGTTTTTAACGTCTTCGTTGCAGTCGTTAGTAGACGCAAAGCTTTGGATGACGTTCATTGTAATGTCCTGTTTCTTTGTTTTGAAGGATGCTTTAATGATCCTAGATCCATCCTATTAGTGCACTTTGTGCTTGTTTGTATAGTATCAGTGCAACTTCTTATGTACGCGAGGTATTTTCCTCTTCACGAACTGAGTATAACAGCAGTTCCCCTAAAGCTAATCACAGTTGTCCTACCTGTGTCCAATCAGTTTCACAGATTCCAAGAACCTCCAGGCTGTATATTTTCATTTCTGCAGCAACTTGATATAGTCTTCCAGTCTCTATAATGTTCAAACTTTCCATGTACCTAAAGGAATGGTTGCTGTGGTTGACAGAAAGGTTATCGGCCTCGTGATTTTCGGGGGAACTCGGTTTTCAGCATGGGACGCTATATTTCTTCTGAAAAAGAAGACCTTCTAACTCCCAGAGCAGAGTTAAAATGGAGTCGTCAATCCCAAGCCCAAATCTTCCCTCTTTATCCGAGCTTAAGACCGGCAGTAGCCCAGGTGGAATTGCTTTTAGAATTATATTCTCAAAAAATTTTAAATAGTACTGAGCTCACATAGACAGAGATAACAACAAAACCATGTCTACTAACTATGCCATTTGCATCGAATCCTATTTTGAAGTCTTTGAAATTCCAACGCTTCAGTTGTATCAAGATAACATATCCCTATGTACACTTTACTTCACGCAGTATTTTGAGGCAGCATCCCATCCATCATCAGGATTTTCAATACAAATGTGAAGACAGTTCTACTGTATGGAGCGGAAACTCGCAGAACTACCAAAGCCATCATTCAGAAGATACAAGTGTTTATTAACAGTTGTCTACGCAAAATACTTCGGATTCGTTGGCCAGACACGATCAGCAACAACGTACTGTGGGAGAAAACAAACCAGATTCCAGTCGAGGAGGAAATCAGGAAGAAGCGGTGGAAGTGGATAGGACACACACTGCAGAAAGCACCTAACTGCGTCACAAGACAAGCCCTCACACGGAACCCTCAAGGCGAAAGGAAAAGAGGAAGGCCAAGGAACACATTACGCCGAGAAATAGAGAAAGATATGAGAGGAATGAACAAACATTAAGACAGAACTGGAGAAGGAAGCCTAGGAGGACAGAGTTGGTTGGAGAAAACTGATGGGCGGCCTATTATGCTTCATCGGGGGTAACAGGCGTAAGTAAGTAATCCCATCCATCATCTTATATGCAAACAACATTAATCAAATTGAAACAAATTTCAGAAAAGTATTATTCAATTCTTAAAATTTATATTTACAATGAATAAACGAACCACAAAAAAAATACAAATATTACCCGAGAAGACGAAAAACAAAATAAAACAACTGATCTCATCCAAAACAGTTTGAACAACAATGAATTTACGGAAGAACACTCTTGTACTATTTTTAAAAAAAAAACCCCCCATAGATAATCTTTTTTCGTGTTCAATCGAAAAATCAATCAAATACAACTCATTACAACAACAACAACAACAACAAACAAACTTTACTACAAATTAAATTTGGATTATTATTATTATTATTATTTACAATAAAGAAAAATAATGCAGTTGGAAAAAAAATTACCGCCGAAAAAATAACTTAGTTCAATAGGATTTAATAAAAACAAACAAGTATATATTGTTCAGTGTTAATGCAAAAAAAAAATTAGAGCATATTTTTGTTATTTTTCCACAAAATAGAAAAAAAACCAAAGATAGAAAGACACGTGAAACTTAACTTTGACTAGCAATATCGTCTGTTTTTTGTTTTGTTTTGAAGAAATTGTCTATACTACTTATAATTTTATATGAGTAGCATAATTTGTAAGTTTGAATTTTTCTTGAAATTTTCTTGAATTCAACTAGGATGATAAATCATTACATTCATCTGATTGATAATGATTACGTAAGGTTGAAAGATTGTCATAAGTTGAAACAAGTTCAGCAATAGAAGGAGAAAGAGAAGCAGTTCTTGAGACAGTAGGAATTCTTATAAATGAACTAGGTCTAAATGATGGACTTCTTGTTAGATTTACACGTGGAAATTTGGTTGATAACGATGTGGAGAGCGGACGAGATGCCAGTGATTTTATACCAGAAGGTAATCGAGCTGAAGAGATTGCAAGGTTTGGACTAGGCAACAAAAAAAAAAGCAATATTGTTTACAATACACAAACTGAGTTAAAATTATTCTAACGAAACTAATTTACACAAAATTAATCATTAACATTCTCAACCTACCTAAATACCAACTACGAAGCATACAATTAGTCCGTATGGAAGTAGATTGAAAATAGAGTAATGTGTCCGATTAAACTAAAACATTGGATTATTTTATATTAATTCAATAACTTTCAGTATGGAACTGTGCAGATTGTTAAGTTGTTTCAGTGTGAAGTTATTATGAACTTGTAGTCCCTCCACAAAAACTTGAGTTGGCTCACTAGCCTTCTCTACATTGCTTCCTTCGCCCATTCGTTCGGATTGTAATCCGAAGAGTTGGCTTAAAAGCCTTCTCCAGTCGCTTCATTCGTTTTATTCACTGCTTCGTTCATTCTTTCGCGTATTCGATCGCCAGTGTACACACTACAAAATGGTGATCCCGACGTCAACATAATCGGCCACTACAAACTCATCATTGTTAGACTATATTATCTTCGTGGATATGCACTAGATGAGCCCTAGACTAAAGGGTAAGACGACCATCCAGTGATCTCAGATTTTAAATTGATCGTTTCATCAGTTCGATGGTTATCGGAGTGAGATATGTCAGCAGGTGTACAGATTAGTTGATTGAGATTCGAGTGATAATAGTGGTTGGTGAAATTGATTGATACACTAGGGAAAATCGATCACAACGACACAAACATATACGTGTTTTGTTGGTTGATATTTAATTTGATGCACTGATTCCGAGAATTCCATTTTTCCCTCTCTTTGAATCACATTTTCCATGTTTAGGTCATTTTCACTAAAATCATCATTATAATATGAATGAATCTAACTGCATTACACTATATATCGCGTTAGTTTGATGTCACCATGCATAAAAGTATGCATCGAAACTATGCAGCAGACAGACAGATACAACACAGAACTTCGTACGTACGTACATTAGTTCAGGTTACCATGTCCCATCAGCACAGAGACGCAACTGTCAGTTCAAATCCAAGAATGATAGAAATAATAGATGTATTAGCAGTAATGGAGAAGATTAGGTTTCGAAGATATGATTCGAGAAGTATAATTCAGTGAAATAAATTTAGAAGGAGAAAGGTAGAGATTATGAGGAATGCAGAAGGTTAGGATTTGAGAGAACACAAAGAGTGGATGCACCTGCGCCATTACAAACGATTCTGAGCCAGGTCATTCAAGGTATCTAACCGTTGGTGGCTTTCGTCTCGCAGACCCCAACCAGATAGCCTACATCTACCAACATGACTCAGTCCACTTGTCAGTGACTTCATGGATTTCTGCCATGTTTTGGTTTGGCCGCCCTTAGCTTTCTTCCAACCTACTCCTACACTGCAAAACATAGCTCGTCACGGAAGTCGGTGGTTAGGCATACGGTTGTCCCATGATACACGAACAATGCTTCAGAGACATCGATAATCGAAGACTAGTAACCTACGAGCATCTTCTATTCTTAACGGCCATGTTTCGCATCCATATATGAGAACGGAGCGAACTGCTGCGCAGTACACTCGTCCTTTGGTTAGCAAACGGATATCTCGCCTGCGCCATAGGTGACGCAGGTTGGCAAATGCTAGTCGAGCCTTCTGTATCCGTACTGAGATTTCGTCAGTCACCATGCCATCAGCACTGATGAGAATCTCCAGATAAGTGAAGCGGTCAACACGCTCGACTACTTCACTCCCTATCACTAGTTCAGGTGCCGATGCAACCCAGTCTTGAAACGTCATTTTGCATTTCGAATGGGAAAATTGCATCCCGAACATCCTTGCATTGTTGCTCAGGGTGGTCAGAAGACTCTGCATTTTGTCAGCGTCTTCACGGGATAGGACTATGTCATCGGCATATTCCAAGTCAATAAGCTAGCCTCCTGGTAAAAGGTCTACTCCTGAAAATTCAGGCGAGGATAAGGTTATTTCTAAGAGCATGTCTATGATAAAATTAAACAAGACCAGAGAGAGTGGACATGCAGCAGACAAAATTCTCATCTTTTATCAATAAGTAAAGATTCTAATTCAATCACCTACAGTTGAAAATTCATTACTCACTAGCTAGTTACCGATTCATATGACCAAATCAACTTGACATTTGATCTCAAGTACCATAGAATATAGACAGACACACAGTAACTCAATTAATCGTCAGTGATCCTAACTTAAATTACTACTCGAACTATTTCTGTCAATCAAAAAAAAAGAATCCGTAACTTTGAAAGTTGATAGATAATGGCGTCGGGCAATACTATTCAGTACGCTTCTCTCCTAGGTTCACTCACTCTCTCTCTCTCTCTCTATCCTTTCAAAAAAAACAATGGTTACCAATAGTTACCGAAACTATCAACTTATAGAAGTAAGTATTCGCTATTCGAGAATTCAAAACAAAGCAAGAAGTAACAAGCACACATCGATTAGCATTGTAATAATTGACCTGATGAAAATGACTCCACCTACCTAGTAGTGTTGATAGTAGTTGTAGCAGTAGTACTGTTAGTAGTAGTAGTAGTAATAGTAGGTTCCAATTCACACGATGTTACTATTGGCTCATTCAATTGATTTTCATAATGAAACGATGATGATGTTTGGGCAAGCAGAGAAAAATTATCATGATGCTCGTCGGATGGAGGAGACATTGGCGATAGTGGTGATAGTGAATCAGTGTCATAATTTTCAATCGGTTCGTATTGATTATCAATGAGTTGATTGTCATGGTGAATTTGTAAAGCGATTGGTAGATTTGATGAATTCTCGATAGATTGTGATTCTGTTGGCGTCGGTGTAGTTGTTGTTGATGATGGTGAGACTGTTGCAGTAGTAGTATTACTAGTAAACGGTGATAAATCTAACGATAGTAATGATGTTCGAGATAAATAATTGGAGTAATTGGGCGAAGTGAGCATATATTCAGACCTACTGTTGAAACCAGTTAAGAAAAAAAAAAAAGAGAATATTCATACAATAAAATCAACCAATCAAAAGTGACCGAATGAGAAGGTTATTATTATTATTATTTGATAACCAATAGAAAATGTTCTAAATCAGAAAAAACATAATCATTGGTTAAGAAGTGGCTTCTTTTTCTATCGAAACGAATTATATACTTTCTCGATCAGATTAGTTAGTTAGTTAGTTATGCGGTTATCAAGTATGACGATTGGATTCATCTCCTGAATTCCTCATCATATCTCTCTTTCTCTTTCTAAATTGATTTCATTGAACTATACTTCTCGAATCATATCTTCGAACCCTAATCTTTTCCTATTACTGCTAATACTTCTAGTATCTCTACCATAATTGAATTTGAACTGACAAATACGTCTCTGTGCTGATAGGTTATGTCAACCTGAACTTATGAACTCATGTATGAAGTTCTACGTTGTAATTGACTGACTGACTGACGAATGGCGATCAGATTTCGAACAAAGTACATCATAGCAAGTAAGGAAACTTGATATACGATTTCTGCACTATATCACAGAGGTTACATTCGGAATTGTACCAGTGGATATCAGCTTAGTGGTTCAAACGATAACCTACAGATGCAGAGTTCAGTGGCTGAGCGAGTCATCGGTGTGTACTGAGGAGCAGTCACATATTTAAACCAAAACACTTATCCAATGCTCTATGATTTTGAATAACAGTTCAATTGAGATAAATATTTTATGAGGAATGAATTTTACACGAATCAAATGAAGATTGCCAGTTCTTTCAAAGTTACAAATATAATTTTCAGACAATATCAGCCTAATGTAAATTTAAAGCTTTTTGTCAATGACTTTCAATCAGGTTACACTAAAAATACATAACATACTACTTGAAGCAAGCAAACTTTAGAGAAAAACCATCTAAGTCTGTGTGACAGAACACAGAACACAAAATCACTTTCAAAAACTGCATGCATGTCTGACTATGAATACTGAGTCATGTGCTTCATCGCAGATAGTTAGTTGGTTCGGATCACTTCTCCACTTCACTTCGCACAGCTTGCATACTTTTCATTCTTGTCTACCCACTCTCTGTGCTGACGTGGTATGACAACCAGAACTGATGTACTTATGTACGTACGAAGTTCTGCGTTATATCTGTCTATCTGTCTGTCGTCTAGCCACTTAAATGAATTCATGAACGATTGCTTAAAATGAAGTTATCCAAACGAATCCGTATTGGGCTTCTTATTACCGCAGTCACACAAATGATATACGTAAAACTGTATGGGGAGGGAATTTATTTCACAGCCTACTTGAACATCCTATAATAAACGAGTCAGCTTAGAGGTCACTAAATGTAGTGATCCCGACGCTTATTCGACTTAAATTTTTTTTCTCTATAGAGCAATCTTATCAAGAACGGAAGAGCTTGATCACTCCAACTCACTTAAACCTCCCAACTACCCTAACAAAATACGCTCCAAGCACACAAGAAAAAAACACTAAGCCATCAAGGATTCAGTTCAAAATACGTCGCACACATCATTACGAGCAAAAAACAGCTGGATGAAAAGCGTCAAATCGATCAATGTCAGTCAGTCAGTCAGTCAATCAAAGAAATCAATCGAAACACAATGAAACATCTACAAAACAATGAATTAGAGAAGCCATCGAAAAAAAAGCAGAGATTGATTATTAACATTGTAGTACAAGCGTACACGCGCACACGCACACGCACACAGTAGTACAAGCGCGTCAACACAAATAGGTTTGAACACAAAGAATTAATTAAAACGAAATAACACAATGAACATGGTTAACTAAAACAAAACGATAATAATAAAACCAAGTATGCGAAAATTTGAGAAAAACTGCTCTGTACAATATGGAACGAGATTGGAAAAAAAAGTTTCTTGATCGCTTAAAAAATAAAAGCAATAAATGCCCAAGACACATAGATCATAAGTTCTTTCTTTGTTTTCAAATACATGAACCTTTCAGAATCTGCATTCACAATACTTTTTAGTTAGTTAGCTGGTAAAAACTATAACTTCCAACTAAGTTGATAGCATACCTTACTTTTATGCTTACTTACGCCTGTTACCTAGCCTCGCCTGATTGAGCATAGGCCGCCCACCAGTGTTCGCCAAAGTTACCCTGTCTTGGGGTTCTCTTTCCAGTTATGTCTAATTTTTGTTCATTTTTCTCATATCTATCTCTATTTCTCGGGGTATTGTGTTCTTTTGGCCTTCTTCGTTTCCTTTTGCCTTGAGGGTTGCAAGTGGGGGCTTGTCTTGTGACTCAGTTAGGTGCGTTCCACAGTGTGTGTCTTATCCACCTAAAACGGTTCTTCTTAATTTCCTCCTCCACTGGAATCTGGTTGTTGCTGATAGTGTCTGGCCAAAGAATCCGAAGTATTTTGCGAATACAACTGTTAATAAATACTTGTATCTTCTGAATGATGGCTTTTGTATTTCTCCAAGTTTCCACTCCATATAGTTGAAAATCCTGATTTCGGTGTGGACTGATAGTTGTTTGGTGTTCCAGATGTATTTCAATTGTATAAATGTAACCCTTGCTTTGCCAATCCACGCGTTCACATCTGAATCGGTTCCACCTTGATTGTCGATGATGCTGGCAAGATATGTAAAGCTATTAACGTCCTTTAAGGAATCTCGATCAAGAGTGATTTGGTTGGTGCATCATCAAAAAGAGCAGTAGATCGTGTTAGGATATTCACCAACTATCCTAACAGTATTATTTTTGGAAGTATAATCTTACAGGTCGATTTCTATTGGTCAAAATTATGGTCGTTTTAACTGTCACAGTCAAATACTTCAATGTTGCCTCTTATTGGTCATCCGGACTGTCAGTGTCATTTCAAATGTTCTTTCCTATTGGTCGTCCTAAACTGACAATGTCACAGACTTCGATGCTCTTTCCAATTCGACCTAAATGTATAAATATGCACTATCTGTAAGACTTCATGATTTCGATTCCCTTCCTTCCTGCCTCGTCTCTTCTATGACCAGAAGAAGTATCAGAATAATGGTATTATTATCTATTTATGTCCCTTTTATTGACCAAAGAAAAATCAAAGGGAAAACCAAAAAACACAAACATTACGCCGAGAAATGGACGGAGACAGACATGAGAATAATGAATACTGAACACAGAAAAAGAAAGCTGAGGATAGAGTAGGTTACAGAATGCTAGCCGGCTGACTGCCTATGCTCCATTAGGCGGGGTTGGGTAACAGGCGTAAGTGAGTAATATGCCTTTGATTATTGATTGACTAATTTTGTACGCTTTCACTATTTATAATCTTTCAGCCAGTTCATCATTCACATACTCATCTATGCATAGAGACTTTTAGTTTGTTCATGTAGTCTAGTATACTCATATAAAAACTATTATTTCTACTTGTTACATGATGAATTTCATGGAAGCTAGATACGGAAGTCTCAAATGAGAGTCAGGATAGAAAGAAGATATCGCGTCGTAGAGCAATAAAAGAGTTCAGAGTTGACTCAAAGGTATTGGTACTAATCTCTTAGCTTCATTGGTGCTTTCTATATGTCACATGATGATGGACACCGGTTACAGATACAACACTGTTCGATTACACAAATCTTCTCAGATGAATACAGAAGAAACATTCAGACAATGCTACATTATCATGTCTTGTGTGTGTGTATGCGTGTATGGTCACTCTGTGTACGCGCATAGCAATCAGCGATTATGCTGCAACTAAGCGTAAAAAAGACAACTTGGTTATTTATTACAAAAAAGCATTTAACAAGAAAACAAGTTTTCATTTTTCAAGAAGAAAAAAACAAAAGTAAGCATGCAACCAAATATGATGCCATATACTACTATTAATACTACTACTACTAATACTACGAATACTACTCAATAAACCAAAACCTACCGATTCAATGTGGAATCTATAATATAATATAATGTATAGGGGAAAAAAAACGGATCATTTTAACTAAGATTAGGTATATACATAAATAAACAAATGAAACGTAATGCAAACAATTGAACATTGAATTATTATTATTGAAACTCAACAAAGAGACAGAGGAAAGAAAGAAAAAGCAGACAGTTATCGTATTTCATAGAAAAAACTGTCATGATTATCTCTCCAAGACATATATATAGCCAGCCAGGCGATGAATTCATCCTAGTGATGATGATGATGATGACTAAGGATTAACATTGGGAAATAATTCAAAGAAAAACTAAAGAACACCAATAATCATTGCGTGGGAATGCAATAATGAAGTTCATTCACATTGTAAAAAAAACACAAAAATCAAATACACCAGAGAAGTGAATAAGTAGTGCTTTGTAGTACTTTTATGTTAAGCCCACACATCAATTGTCCCAAGAGTTCAGTGAATTTAACAAATTCATTCTATCCGACCCGTTTTCCGACCTTACTTACTTACTTATACCTGTTACCCAGCCTCGCCTAATGGAGCATAGGCCGCCCACCAGTTTTCTCCAACCAACTCTGTCCTCAGCTTCCCTCTCCAGTTCTGTCCAATGTTTGTTCATTCCTCTCATATCTTTCTCTATTTCTCGGCGTAATGTATTCTTTGGTCTACCTCTTTTCCTTTGAAATTGAGGGTTCTATGTGAGGGCTTGTCTCGGGACGCAGTTAGGTGCTTTTCGTAGTGTGTGTCCTATCCACCACTTCTAGAGCTTCTTCCTGATTTCCTTCTTCACTAGAATCTGGTCTGTTTTCTCCCGCAGTTCGTTGTTGCTGATAGTGTCCGTTCAACGAATACGAAGTATTTTGCGTAGACAACAGTTAAAAAAACACTTGTATCTTCTGGATGATGGCTTTCGTAGTTCTGCAAGTTTCCGCTCCATACAGTAGAACTTTCTAAACAGTGAAAATTGAAAATCCTGATTTTGGTTTTGGTTGACAGTTGTTTGGAGTTCCAGATATTTTTCAATTGTAGAAATGCAGCCCTTGCTTTGCCAATCCGCGCCCTCACATCTGCATCGGATCCACCTTTCTCGTCGATGATGCTGCC